GGAGGGGGGACTGGGGAGGCTAGTGCAGATTGGGGGAAGGGTGCCGTTCAGACTGCAGAGTTTACAAGCTCCCAAGGGCCCCAGGTCATGTTTAATGGCGTGCCTTTGTGGTTCAATTCCAGACAAATGCACACATCGTCCTTCAATCCGTCCGCGGCTGCGCACCCCAGATCTGGATCTCGTGAGAGCCCACTGGGATGTCTTTGAACATGATCAGCTCCTGCCCCGCAGACGCATTGAAGGGACCGTCGTAGTTTGACTTGGTCAAACCCTCAGGCAGGTTGACCTTGAGGGGGCCCACAGCGGTGCTGCCGCGCGCCACAGAGACGTTGAAGGCAAAGGTGGTGGACGGGTCGCAGGTGCGCACGGACTGGTCCGGGCCGGCTGACATCTGCAGCTCGACAGACACTGACACGACGGCGGCCACAGCGCAGCCTACAAGCAGCAGTCAGAAATCGTGCGGGGCATGGGTTTATGCTGATGCAGGGGATGGGTGCAGCAAAATGTGCTGTAAGCTCTGTCCTGACGCCTCCAGCACTAAATCGCCCATGCAGTAAAGAGCTGTTGCCACACCCGCAAGAGACGCCATGCGGGCGTGCCTGATTTGCAGGCCAGTCTGCCTTCACCAGTTGAACAAGGGACATTTGAGGCGCATTAGACCCTCCCTGCCATGCAAGCGCGCACCTGTCTTGTTGGCAGAGAATGTGATATCTGTGCTCCCGATTGGCAGGTCCCTGCACACGTATGTGAGAGTGCCCTCCACACTGCTGCCGTTGAAGGCGCAGCCGCCGCGGCTAGGGATGACGTCATCACGGGTCAGCCCGCCTGCGATTTGGACGTCCACCACGGCCTGCCCCACCAGGCCGGACCCAATCACGATGGAGCTCTGGCGGGCCGCGGCGCTGAGGGAGTAGCTGACGTGCGGCACGCTGAAGACGGTGGTGTTTTTAGCCGTGAAGCCTGGGGGAAGGAACAAAAGAGGAGAGGGGAGGTCGTCACGGGCTATGAGGCAGCGCCTCTGAGCAGGAGGCTGGTGCATGGCAGTGGCAGGGGCAGCACGCCCTGCCGTGGTGGGCCATCAAACAACTTTTGCTGCGTGGCGCCGTTTCTCTGGATACATAGCCCAAATGTATGGGGACATTGGCAACACAACCGCCCTGACCCGTGTCACGCGTGTGTCTTGGACAACGTTACGGGTTGCAGCCCCAATAGCCCACCGTTCTTGGTCGCGGTGACCTCGACTAGTGTGTTGCCGGCGGGGACCACGCAGTCAATGCGCCCCTGCTCCGCGTTGACCACGCACGCGCTGCCGTTGACGCTGACATCAGCGAGCGCAACGCTGAAGCCGGATGCGGGGTTGACGCTGAAGCTGGCCGGAAGCTGGGTTGCCCACACCGTTTGTGCGTTGCACAGCGGCGTGGCGGGCGCCAAGGTGGCCGGCAGGCTCACGCGGAGGTCCATCGCGCGCGTCTCCACCGTGGCGGTCTTGGTGCACGCTCCCCCTGCCGCAAAGCGGAGACAAATGCGAAGGGCACGGCCAAGCATGAGTGACTGCTTGGCGTGGCAACCAAGGGCACAAATCAAGCTTATCACATGTGGCGGCACCCAATTGGCAGGCACGATACAAGCACGCCCCCATTCCGACCTTCAGCGGGTGCCCGTCAGGCACAGCGCCCCCCTCCCGCCCACTCACTCGCGCCGCCAAGCACGCCCCACGCCAGCGTCTGATGGCTGGAGGTGAGGCTGCAGCGGTAGCGCAGGTCGGCGCCCTCCGCACTGACAAAGACGCACTCGGGGCTGGAAGACGCGTTCAGGAAGCTGACGTCATCGGGTGTCAGGCTGCCGGTCATCACCACACGCAAGTCGGTAGCCACCGGGTTGAGCGGCGACGGCAGGTTGTCCGAGGTTGCGGCGTAGTGTAGGAGGGTCCCGTCGGCCCCCTCGATGGTGATGGTGCCGGTCTGCTGGACCGACAGCACCACCGAGTCGCTGACGTTGCCTTTCGCCGTGTCCGCTGCGTGGCAAATTGGCAAGTGCGGCGTGGTTTGGGCACACCAGTTCAGAGCAGATTGTGGATGCTATCACATTGGATGGCGATGGCATATAAGGATCTAGCATCATATGAACAAGCAGGGGCCCACAGCTCAGGGCCCCAGATTAGCTGATATGCATTCCAGCTGCTGGCTGCGCACCCCAGATTTGAATCTCGTGAGAGCCCACTGGGATGTCCTGGAACATGATCAGCTCGCGTCCCTCGTCCAAGGCAACGGGGCCAAAGTAGTTTGACTCGGTCAAACCCTCAGGCAGGTTGACCTTGAGGGGGCCCACGGCGGCGCTGCCGCGCGCCACGGTGACGTTGAAGGCAAAGGTGGTGGACGGGTCGCAGGTGCGCACGGACTGGTCCGGGCCGGCCGACATCTGGAGCTCAACAGACACTGCCACAGTGTCGCTCACAGGGCAACCTGCGAGCAGCAACGCATCCAGAGTTACAATTTGGGGAGCGGACAAGTGTTTTCTATGGCAAGAGATGGACGGTATCGTATTTTTCCAGCTCTGGCCGGCCTCCGCAACTTGCAAGCTGCTGCTGAACAAAGCTGCGAGATTGGACAAGAGCCAGCATGCCACGTGCGGCGTCGGCGAGTGCCAGTTGCAGCCCTGCACCCACGTGAGCCCCGCACCCACCGTCCTTGTTGGCCGAGAATGTGATCTCTGTGTTGCCGATCTGCAGGTTGCTGCACACATAGGTGAGGGCGCCCTCTGCACCACTGCTGTTGAAGGCGCAGCCGTCATAGCTAGAGGTGACGTCATCCTGCGTCAGCCCGCCACTGACGTACACATCAATCACGGCCTGCCCCACCAGGCCGGACTCGATCACAATGGAGCTCTCGCGAGCAAAACCGCCGAGCGAGTAGCTGACGTGCGGGGCATTGAAGACGGTGACGTTGCTCGCACTGAAGCCTGGGTGGTGGTCAAAGGATGGAGCGCGAACGGAAGGGCCATTGAGTGGCGCGGCTCGGCAACAAGCACGAGATCGCACCGGCAGCAGTGCGAACCGGCGCCGGCACGAGGAAGATTGTGCCGAAGCTGCGGCGCCGCTTGCCAGCCGCCGCCGCTCCCCCCTCTTGCATCTCGCCGTGCTCGCCGTTGCCCTTCCGGCGCTGCGGCCCTGCGCCTGTGGCCAAACGCATGAGGCCCCGTCTGCAGCCCACCATTCTTGGTCACGGTGACCTCGACCGCCGTGACTCCCACTGGAATCAAGCAGTCGATGCGCCCCTGCTCCATGTTGACCCCGCACGCGGTGCCGTTGACGCTGACATCAGCGAGCGCGACGGTGAAGCCGGACGCGGGGTTGACGCTGAAGCTGGCCGGAAGCTGGGTGGTCCAGGACAGCTGCGCGTTGCACAGCGGCGCGGCGGGTGCCAAAGTGGCCGGCACACTGACACCCAGGTCCATTGCGCGCGTCTCCACCGTGGCAGTCTTCTTGCACGCGTCCTCATCTGACAAGGGGAGGTGCACAGGAGGCGTCCAAGTGAGGTGTGGCTTGTTTCAGTGCGGCTTATTTGTTGGGTGAGGCGCAACGGGAGTTCAGGGGAGCGGACCGTCAGGCAGGGTACAGCACAAGCTTGGCGATTTGCAGACAACGAAGAAATACGGCAGAGCAACGCCGGCATCGCTCGGCGCGTCAGCAAAGAGATGGCAGCGGGCTCGAATGTATGCGCAAGTCGCAGGCGGCTCACCCGGCCTGCCGAGCACGTCCCACGTCAAATCCTGCGCGCTGGATGCGATGCTGCAGTTGTAAAGAACGTCCGCCCCGTCAGCGCTGACAAACTCGCACGCGGGGGTGACGGTGGCGTTCATGAAGGTGACATCATCGGACGTCAGGTTGTCGGACAACGCCAGGCGCAAGATCCTGAACGCCGGCGCTGCCTCGGACGGCAGGTCGTCCGAGGTTGCGTTGAAGTAGAGGGTGGGGCCACCCTCTGCGCTCTTGATGCTGGTGATGCCGACCTGCAGCACAGACAGGACGACACTCGTGTTCGCCATACCCCCGGCATCGGTGTCAGCTGCAAGGTTGCGGGGTGTGCAAGGTGGAGTGCGCAAGGGACGTGAAGGGGCAGCACAGATGGGTTGAGACATCGGGGGCCAAGGGGCGGAAAACCGCACGACAGCTGCAATCAACAGTGCAGTCCCGCACCTTCGCCCGAGGGCAGGCAATGCTGCGCAAGCTCTGCAGACCCAGACAACGCAGCACACACACCCCCTTGGACGGTCCCAGCGATACCGTCAGCTGTCCAAATGTTGATGATATGAGCCACGCGCCACTCACCCCAGATCTTGATCTCGTAAACACCCACAGGGATGTCCAGGAACACGATGTGATTGTCTGCCTGCACCGCATAGTTTGACTGGGTCAAACCGTCGGGGAGGTCGACGTTGGGGGAACCCACGACGTCGCTGCCGCGCGTCAAGGTGACGTCAAAGTTGACTGTGTCAGAGGGGCTGCAGACGCGCGCTGACTGGTCGTCGCCAGCAGACAGCCCCGTCGTCTGCAGCAGCTGCCGCTGCACCGCCTGCGCCGCGGTGGCTGCGGCCTGCGGCGGGGTTTGCCGTCGGGGCGGCGGGTGGGAGGGTGCGTGTCACAAGGGAGTTTGGCGCCGCGCGGCGGGGAGCGCGACGGCAACAACAGGGGGTGGCTTGAGGGCTGCGGCTGGCCCTTAGCACCCAGCAACGCGTTAGGCTTGATGATCCCTTCCGTGATTCGGGCCAATCAGGTCTCCTAATCGAGTCCACCTAGGCGCACAGCCATATCCCATTCAGACTCAGATGTCACTCAAACCCCTTGCAGGAAGGGTCCCCCAACATCCCCAACAAGCTACACGCCCCTGTGCCTGCCCACCTTCCGGGCGCCATGCCGGGCGGCGACCGCGCGCGCCGCCTCCACGCACACCGCGCGCGCGGCGGCGGACAGCGGCGGCGAGGGTCGGCCGGCCTTGGTTACCCGCAGGCGATCAAACGAGGTGCCGTCCTGGTCAAATGCCACGCTCAGACCCTGCATCTCGGAGCGCAGCGCTGCAAAGGGGCCAGAGAGGGGCAGGAGTGCGGCGTGTGCGGAGCGGTACAGGTCGGTAGGGTAAGGGCTGCAGCATGCAATGCGCTGCACGCGGTTTGGCGACGGTGGCTGTGGGATGCACCATATGATGCAAACGAGGACCAGTGGGCTGCTGTCCTACTGTTATTTTGCCTGTCCAGCACCCAATGCCAGCCATGGAAATGTGCCCGGGAACCAATCAGAGACGTAATACAAAAGCGCGCCTCTTGGACGCCGCACCTGAAAGGTTGCAGTGATCGCAGGCATGGATGGTGACGTGCGCGCTCCACAGCGGCGCGGCGCCGCGGCAGCTGGCGAGGCGGTAGGCAGTCGTGAACGACGCACCAGAAGGATCGGTGCCGCGGATGCGCAGGGAGGGCGAGCGGCCTGCGGGTGACAGGGGTGTTGCGACAGTGGTGGGTGCTCAGGTGTGGTGACTCACATGCTTTTGGGCTGTTGGTGCCGCAAAATTGCCGGGGTACACTACGTGGCACATCAGATCCAGCAACCGGAGCTTGGGCGAGCAATATGGCTGTTTCCGAACGACGTTTTGGGTGATCACGCACCGCTGGAGGCGAGGTCGTCGCAAAGGACCTGCCAGGGGGTATCTTCGGGTGACTCCGTTGCCATACGATATGTGGAGCTCTCCTTGAGCGCCGCTGCACCTGGGGGAGGGCAAACCCAGCGACACGCAGCAGTCACTATACCGTAACCTGATCCATAAATATATGGCGTTAGACATCGAGTGCATACTACTGAGCTTGCTTGCAATGCTGGGATGGCCTGGACTGGGGCACCGGTCCCGCGCTAGATGCCTAGATCGTCAGTGCCATGCCATGCACAGCTGAGCCCGCCAGGCCCGCTCACACCGCTTGCATTTGAGCGCATGTACCTGATATGGCGCACAGAATCACCAGGGACACGCTCAGGCGCCCCATGGTGCCGCCTCCAACGTTGACTCGGTCCTCGAAACTCCCTTCGACAACCCACGACCAAAAGCGAGCAAGCAAGTGTGACAAACGGTAGCACTTGATACGCGCGTGTGAATGATCGTCTGTGTGTTCTAGCTATTGAGGCATGGACCAGATCATGCTGCTGATGAGTCATAACGATTGACTTCACGCTGTTTTCAGGAGCTTGTGCCGCTCAGCGCTGCAGCCAGTGGTCGGCATGGCAAAGCGACGGAGCTGCGAGCAGGTCTGAACGTTGTTCCAGGCAGTTTACACAGTCGATTTTCCCGGCGTTGCTGCATGGGAGGCGCAGGCAGCTAGGAGCCCAACGCATTATTGCTCGCGGGTGGCAGACCTGGTGGAATGTGTTTGGTCCACCCAGCATCCCGCTGCTTCTCTGGCGACTAGGGCGAATACAGCAGGGCCCGTCTTCCCACTAGCACATGTCAGCAATTACACGCCGCTGGAAGGGATTGGTGTCGCAACAAACTACAAGCTGCTACCTGCAGCAGGGAACGAAAGTGCATTCTTGAGTGATCATCAGGAGCATGCGTGTGCGTAGCGATACGATACTGTGTGCCCGTCGGTCAGCGGCTGTTGACAGAAAGGCGCGTGGCGTGGCAGCCTCTGAAGCCACACATTATTGGTATGCACCTCTAGCCTTTGCACATGATGGTTGTGCAAAGGAAGAATAAAGCGCCTGTGGGAAAAACTCAACAAGCCGGGTGACTAGGTGCACAGGTGCAGTGGGGTGACAGTGTAACCGCCCGCCGTACCGGATCACATTGGCAGGGGGACGCAGGCGAAAATGGAGAGTATGCGGCAAAACGGGGTGTGGGGGCGCACCTCAGCGCCGAAAAGCGCGCCCAACAGACGCTGCTGCGGCGGGGCGACAAGGCTCGGGCCGGCCAGGCTCAAAAGGGGACGCGTGCATACTTTGGATGAATGGCGTATGTACGTTGCCTGTGTCCTGATGGGTTTTGGTATGTGATGGGCGCAGCCGCTTGGGCGCGGTCCATCAACGTTGCTTGGTGTTGTGCCATGATCATCCCTGTGTGTCCCTACGGCACACAAGGGTATGATCACTGACCAAAAATCAGGTGCAACTGCGCCTGCCCCTGGAAAAAATGGAGTACGCACTCCACTGTTTGCGGCCACACCGCGGAAGCTGGGCCGGCGGCGAGCGTTGACAGGGCCTGAATGTGCTCGAGGCGCGGCGGGGCGGGGGGGCGCTGACCGCGCTCGTGCACGTGTCAGCAGCAAGCCCCCTTCCCCCACCACCTGCCGGCCGCTCAAAGATGAGCGTTCAAAAACTGCAGCATCAGAGCCCCGCCGCAATGGCTAAAGGCGGTGTCATGCACACAGGCACCCTGAAGCGACCGCGCCGCCGCCCCAGCCCTACAGCGGCTGCTGCGTGCATACCGGCAGCCGCGCAACGCCGAGACGGCGTGCACAATCCATGTCCTGTCCTCAAAACAGCTGCGGGAGCAGCGTGGTGGAGCCGTCCCCGAGCGTGAAGCCGGGGGGCTTGACGTTGCAGCGGCACATCGGGCAGGTGGGCTCCCGCTCCAGCCACTCAGCCAGGCAATCCTGTTTTTGCGCACAAGGGTTGGGTGAGGTGGCAATCGTCAGGTGGGTGCGCAGAATGCAAACCTACAAGGCAGTGTTGTCCTTGCCTACACTGCCTTCAAGGTTTACTGCCAAATCTTCAAGGCAGCGTAGTCAAGAACAACGGCGCCTTCGGGCTGACAGACAGACCGCGCCCGCCGCGTCCATTGCGCCTCTTCCACGGCTGCAGCCCCAAGTGAGCCCCAATGCCAAACGAGCCCCCTCCCGAGCCGTCCACTCTACACACAAATTTCACTCTGCCTGGCCGCATCCCGCGCGCCGCGCGCGGCCCCCAGCCCGCCTCCTTCCTTCCGCCCAAGGGCTGACGCGCGCCACCGGCCGCACCTCGCAAAACACATGGGAGCAGTCCAGCCGGATCGGCGCGGCGCACGGGTCCTGGCAGATCGGGCAGACCGGCGCGTCCGCCCCGACCCCGATCTCAGCCCTTTTCAGGTAGCGCCCGTAAAGCGCGCCCGTCCGCAGCACGAGCCGCGTCGCGAGCAGCAGCAGCTGGCCCCTGCGGAAGAGGCCGTGCGCCTTGAACGCCAGGTATGCCGCAACCAGCAGCGTGCACAGCGTGGGGTTGCGGGTCGAGGTCATCAGGTAGGAGCACCAGACCGGAGCGGGCAGCACGACGCGGACCGAGGCCTGTATGTAGTCGTACAGAGCCAGCAGCCGCGCACGCCGCCGCGCGGACACGTGCGCCACGGCCGCGTGCGGGGCCTGCGGCTGCGCGGGCGCCGGCAGCGGCGGGGGGACCGCGAGGCGGGCGCCACTGCTGGAGCGGCGGGGCACGGCTGCGGCCGCGGGATCGGCGGCGCGGCCGCTGCGGCGGAAGAGCGCGGCGCCACAGGTCAAGAAGCGCAACGCCCAGCTGCCTGCAGGGGCGACGGTGGCGGCAGCGGTGCCGCCGCTGCTGGTAGAACTGCCGCCATCACCGCCAGTGCTGCTGCCGCTGACGCAGCCCTCGACGCCACCGTCGCTTGGCCCCGCCTCGCTGCTCTCTTGCAGCTCCCTAGCAGCTGCGTTGGCGCCGCTGGCCCTGCGGGCGCGGCCTGCGCCGCCGCTGCAGGCCGGCTTCCTGGTAGCTGCAGCGATCAGGACCTTAGGCACGACGCCGCAGCACCTGACCAATGAATCGGTGATTGCCACGCTGAACGCGGCGTGCAGCGACGTGGCCGGCGCCTCGGCGGGCGGCAGCAGCAGCAGCGCCCGCCACTGCTGCGCGCCGGTCAGCCACAGCGTCAGCGCCACGTTGGTGGCGACAAACATGACCGCGGCCGCCAGCTCGGACGGCTCGCAGGCGGTCTGGGCGACGATCTTGCGCAGCACCTCGTTCGCTTTGTAGACGCTGCAGCCAAGCCAGGCGCACAGGAACAGCCCTGCGAAGGCGGCGCGTTTTGAGGTGATTTTGAGTGGTGCGAGAACCCACCGAGGGACGCCTCCTAATGCAGCACTGCTCGCAACCCGGTCGCAACCCGACAGCTCAGAGGCCAAGTAGCAGGTTCAGCACCCGGGCAGCCTACCTGTGGCGTGGTGATAGAGGAAGACGATGGCCAGCAAGACCACAAAGGGAATCGCGTGCTCGACCCACCGGGCGAGCGCCTGCCCGGACAGAGGATTGAGCCGTGTAAGGTGGCATACGGCAGGGGCGGCGTCAGGCCCGAGGGGAGGGGGCGGGGGCATCACGCATGGGCGGCGTCTCCTGACGGCCGCTCTGGGTGGTTGCGCTGCTGCCGGGATGGCGGCGCGCTGCATGCGGCCGCCGTTGCACGCGCTGACTGGTGTTCGCGGTGGCGCTTTGCAGCAGCAGCTCGCGCGGTCTGCCTAGCTGGGACAGCATGCAGAAGGTGCATGCGATAGCATGCGGACCTCCGCAGCCCCACGCAGACATCACCCTAAAAGCGACCGCACTCACCTGGTAGTCCATTGCTTGGGTGTTTGATAGACGGTGCATGCGCGCGGCGCCGGCCGCGCTCCCCACCGCTGCTGCATCACTGGCTGCGGCTACTGTGGCGGTCGCCACCTGCTGCGCGCGTTCAGCAGCTCCGGCTGCTGCGTTGGATATTTCGTCCATAAATGCTCCCGCTATGCCCGACGATGAGGGGACCTCCATATCTCAAGAGGCAGGAGCCCCTATTCCGGGTGTGATTCCAGCCCGCGCGGTGTGCACAACGGCTACCTATACCCTCACAACATACATGGAAAAATTCACATGCTCGTTATGCAGGAAAAGTCCTGGTGCGAGAGAACGAGCCTGGAACCCGGGCTGTCCTCAAGGTTGCGGGGACTTCTAAAATTGCACTTTGTAAAGCAAGAGCTCAGGTGCGGTATAAGCAGCATTCCGAGATTCACTGTGTATCAACATAATGCGTAGTGACCATAGACGCAGCTTCCTGCAGCTCGCCGCCATCATTGCGCTGTTGCTGGGCAGCAGCTCACTCACCAAGCGCCGGTCTGCAGGGCGCATCAAAGCCACTTCTGCTGCCACGCATCTATGAGGCAGCGAGGTAGACATGCTGGCAACAACAAACCGCATAAATGCCTGTGTGGGCAAGGTCAAGATGTTCAAAGCGCTTGGCGTCGCCCACACCCCAACCCAGATCATGGTATCATACGGTATCCTCAATCAAGCGGCACTGTACATTTGCTGACAGCAGGTGCTGAAGAGTCGCAGCTCTTTGTTACCTATAAATATGTGGCATGCAGGGCCAAGAGATGCATCGACAAGACCGTGCCCTTGTTTCGAACCAAGCGATGTCACAGGGAAACATTCCATCTTTCAAAGCCTAAAAGCTCTGATGCTCTTGCTAGAGACCTGATCAAGTCATTGATAGAGTAAATCGACCCATTAATAAAGAAGCACCTATGAAAGTCTTCATGCAGCTGTCGATACTCTGTAGAGATTGCGTGCCGTAACCGGCACTCTTCGGTGACGGTTGAGCCCTCGCTGGACGGGTGCGAGGGAGGCAATTTGACACACAAGCACAGCCTTTCTAGCAAACACAAGGCGTGCCTAATAGATAGTAAGGTGCTGGTCTGCTGGCAATCAGCATGCCGCCCTCGTGGTAGTCCTCAATGTGGTGGGCTGGAACTCTGTCATCGTATCAATGGCCGATCCAGCTGCATCGAGCTTTGCTGCGTAATGTGTGTGACACAGCCTCAGAAAGATTTCAAGTGGCATGCATCACACCCGTCCAACATTGACTTCTTTCAGGTGGGCAAGGGACAGTATCACTGCATCAGGGATGGCTGCAGCACCGAGCCAGGTGAGCGAATGGCAGTCTTCACTCCCCGTGCCCCATATGGCGTTCATCTCCTGTTTCCTTACATATGGCGTGCGTCTCTTGATCGAAGGAGGTATTTTGTTGCGGAACTATATGCACATGCACGTGCCGCCGCAGCCTGATGCGTCGTGAGGGAGCGCCGGGGCTTGGTCTAAGAGCGATGATTGCGGTGCCTTGCCTTATCCCAGGGTTACCACACAGCACACGCAGCACACGAGCCGCACTGCACCACAGCCCGCTGGCGAGATATGCCGCTTTGTGGTACAGGTGGGACTACTTGGGATGTTGTGTTGCATCCGCCAGCAGCTGCGCAGTGCTTGCGTCAGCTGCGCAGCTATCAGAATGTCCTTTGGGCCGACTGTGCCCTCAAACACTGCGAATGGGCGATAAAACATTATCTCGTGACAAGGCCACCCACGTTTGGATGATTGAAAGGTTGGGCCATTGGAGCGTGAACATCACGGATACGTCAAGGTCGTCGACGGTTCCATACCGTACGCCTTGCTGAAATTTGATAAGGGGTCTTCTAAGCGCATGAAACTTGACGTCTGTTTAAGTCGTCCTTGCGTGCCACCGAGGTCCACTCGTCGCTGCGTCCGACACTCTCACCATTAGGCTGCACACACAACAGACTCAGCAGCCCACGTGAGGGCGGTTCTGGCGCTCGAAGTGTCCACGTGCTTCACCAAAGCCCAAACCATGCCATCTGGCAGGGGTGGGGGCGGCAAGACGAAGAGGAAGGGCGGCAAGGTGACCATGGGTGGTTCTGCTTAGACCACTTGCTGAGGCTCCGTCGACATGTGCAGCAGCAGGGGATGATTGGCGTAGCAGCAGTTAAGCTTGCTGGATGATCTAGCTTGATAATGTCTCCTGTTTTTCATCCTTTCAATACGCCGTCCTGCCTGCCTGATTGCCTAAACCCCATTACCAAAACTTGCATCTGCCGGCGTGCAGGGCCGCCTCACCCCGTACCAAGGCCCAGACCGCGTCTTTGGCCACTTCAGCTGCCCCATTTGCCGCAACAGCTGGTGCAGCGGCAACAGCTGGGCAAACATGGGCCAGCAGTGCCTGCGCTGCAAGACAAACGTGTACCCCTACCGCCAGGAGCCGCTGCGCAAACCGGAAGACGATGAGGAGGGCTGGGTCGACACCAAGCCCCACTTGCAGCACCTGTGTGAAAAGTGCAAGCTGCTCGGGTACTCCTGCCGAAACTTGCAAGATTGACAAAATAATTTTCTGTTGCATTCGTCAGGAGCGGCCCCCAATCCTCCAGCCCACAGCCACAACGTCGGACGGAGTCCCGCTGGCACATAGAGCCCCCCCACCGCTGACAAGCTGTGCTCTCCACTCAACAGGGCCGGGGACCTTCTGAACATTACGAGTAGGTCTGCAAACAGATAGCTTGCACTAGTCGTTGCTGTTTCGGAGCACGCACCCACCTGCAGATAGGATTTGTAATCTCTCCATGCATCTGCTGCTTTTCGATTTCCCAAGTCATGAGGATGCAAGCGGCAGGGTTCAGTTGGGAAGCTGCCCGCGCGTGTGCTGCTGGTCAACTGCGAATGTCCCACACATGCCAGCAGAAGCATATTCATGTCCGCGCCGCGAGTTGAGGGGCGCGGGGCCAGTGGGGTTGGGCATATTAGCACAAGTCCTCTGGTGTGACATAGATATGCCAACACTGGCCCGGGCTGCCCATCAACTTGCTGCTCGCGGCAAAGGGCCCCGCTGGCACACTGCAGCTGTCAAAGTTGGCTGGCAACATGCGCATGGGGGTGGATGTTACTGCCAGGAGCCTTGCAGCTACACAGGCAAATCGACCAGGCAAGACGCAGCGTGCTGCCAACGTGTTGATTGGATTGTGATGAGAATGCACCCACAGTGGGGCAAAGCGCAAGGGGGAAAGGGGGCATCAAATAATGCGGGCGCAGTTGGGGGGCGCCTGGCAATTGTTGGCTGCTGAGAGTGACGACACCTGCAGGCGGGCGGGCGCGTGGCCAAGTGCTCTATACTGGGGGAGGAAGTGGATTAGATATGGGGCCAAAGGCGGCCAGGGGTTTCCTAAGTGTGTCCTGTGCCCATGCGGGTGTATATTCAAGGCCCCGCTTTGGTACCCCATTCAACAGCCAACGGGAGCTGCCACCCGCGCGGGCGAGTGCAGGCGCACGTGTGCCCGCGCGCACGGCAGGTGGCTGCTGCCTCCCGTGCTGCGGGGCAAGGAGGGCCGGCGTTGGCGGGACGGGAGACGAGGCCCGGGCGGGATGCCAGCTCGCACCATGACGTGCCCACGGCCAACCGTTGCTGTTGTCAACACGCGTGACTCAAAGCATTTGACCCTCATTTGACCGTGCCGACAAAAGCAGCAGCTGCCACATCCCAGGATGTGACGTGGCAATGCAGAAACGCACTCGCAAAAAGGGCGCCTGGCGGCCCGCGTGCGACCCAGCGCCTGCCAGCACGCGCCGCGCACCAGCGGCCGGCAGGCCGCGCGGTGCCACTCGCTGGCCTCGAGACCGGCCCGACGGCCGCTTGCCACGCGCAGACCCGTGCGCTGAGGCCGCGGCCCTATGTGATGGCTTGGGTTGTGTGTTGTTGGCGTGCTTGGGAGGGAGCATGCATGACAAATGCAGCGGAGGCAGCAGGCCGCCGCCAGAGGGGCCGATGAGCGGCCCCTCTCAGGAATAAGATGGATTTAGTTGCTAGAAGGCAGCAGGCGGCAGCTGGGATGGGACGGGGCAGGACGGGATGCATGCGGGGGACTCCATGTCGCACACAGCTGCGAGGCGCGGCCGCCGCTTTGGCTGCGGCGGCAGTGCCGCGGCGGTGGCGGCTGCCGCCGCCCGCGCAGTGCGAGACAGCGGCCGCGGCCCCGGCTCCCTCTCGCGCGTCGAGGCCAGTCGCGGCGCGGCGGCCGCGGCCCACCCTCCCCCCCTGTGCCGCACACCAGTCCCGCCGCCATTGATTCGTTCGATTGTCGCGTCCAAGTCGACCGCGTGTCAACCTGCAGCCCCCAGCGCGCGCGCGCATGCACGCCCCTGCAGCCCACTCAGAACCTCGTTCACAGCGCGCGGCCGCCCTCCGAAGTTAACTTATAGTGCATCGGCAGCGACGGCCGCGTCAGCACGCCCGCCAGGTTGAGCACCTCCTGCGCCGTCATGGGGCCGCCCTGGCCGCCGGCGTGCTTTGACAGGAACCCCGAGTGCAGGTGGAGGTGGCGGTCACGCTCGCGGCGCCACTCCATGACGCCGCCGCCAATGGGCTCGAGCGGCTCGGGCGGGACGCCGTGGGCGGAGGCGGCGGCCAGCAGCTGTAAGAACGGGGCGGGTGGGCAAGGTGGGGGCGGCTTGGTTTTGGGGGCGAAGGATGGACGGCTGCAGACTGCCGCAGCGGCGCTTTTATTAAAGCAACCGGCTCCAGGCGAGCCAGCGGGCCACAGCGCGAGCCCGTAGGCTGCTAGCAGGGGCGCGCTTTCGCTGCGGCACCCATGCCTCCCCTCCCCGCTGACCACACCCCATGCAGCCAGGCCCTCCTGCTGCCCTTGTCACACCCTTGCTCCGCCACATCGCCCCGCATACCCACGTCGTGGCGCCGGCCGACGCACAAGCACACGCGCACGCCCCCGCGGCGACCACCCCCTCACCCGCGTCCCCCTGCGCCCGCCCACCTGCCGGTGCAACCGCTCGAGCAGCTTCCCCTCGCTCGCGTAGTTGCCGCCCCGCACGAGCAGCTTCTGCCGCCCGCAGCGGTCGCGCACCCGCACCAGAACAAACTTGAACTTGCCCCAGTCGTCCACCTCGACGGCCTCCAGCAGCGCCCCCACCCACAGCCCGCCCCCCTGCGGCGCCTGCGCCTCGCGCCACCTGTGGCGCCGGGCACGTGGGTTGCGGGTTCATTGGGGGTTTGTCAAGCTTCCTTCGCACAGCTTGGCGCCAGCCTGGCTCAGGGGCGTCTGCGACGAGGGATGAATGACTGGACAGCAGAAGAGCGCTGCAGGGCCGACAGCCTGAGACGGTAAATGCGCACTTTGTGATGCAACAATGATGGAGCACAACAGTGTATACATATCGAGGCGTTCGCACCTCTCGTCCGCCGCGCGGCCGAGGTCTGTTTGCGCCTGCAGCAGCTGCGTCGCGCGCCGCGTCACCGCCGTCAGCTCGCGCGTCGCGTCGCCGTGCCGCCCGCCGCCGCCGCCCCTGCCGCCGCCCCTGCCTGCGCCGCTGGGCCCGCCGCCGGCGAGCGCGCTGCGGCGGCCGGGTGACACATTGGTGAGTGACGCGCCGCGGCTGAGGTCCCCACCCACCAGCAGGCTCTCCTGCCCCAGCAGCCCCACGCTGCCCATCGTCCCCATGTCGCCGCCGCCGCCCCGCCCCGCCGCCGCAGCCGCGAGCGCGCCTCCGGCGCCGCTGAAGCCGCTCGCGCCGAGGGCGCCGTCGCCAGAAAGCGTCCGAGGCATGTCCCATGGCTGGCCGCAGGCCGCCAGGTACGCGAGCGCCTCCTCTAAGCCGTCCCCGTCGCCGCCAGACGCCGCGGGGTCGAGCTGCCGCGCCTGCTCCGCCTGCCAGCGCTTGGCGAAGCGCCAGCGCCACGCCGCGCGGGTGTACGCCTCGTCGTCGTCGTCCGCGCGGCCGCCGCCGCCCGCCGCCGCCTGGGGCGGGGCGGCGGCCGAGCCTGGCGGCTGGCGCCCGCGGGGGATCGGCTGGGCGACGGAAGAGCCGAGAGGGACGGCGGCCGCGCAAGCCGCGTGCTGCGCCTCGTCCTCCCGCTGCTCCAGTCTTTGCTGCTGCTCCTGCTCCTGCTGCTGCTTCGAGTTGCCCTTGCCGCCCCTGCCGGGCAGCGGGAGCTTGAACTGCCGGTGGGCCCACGTGCCCAGCCCTGCTTGCTGCTGGTCGCCCTCCCCCCGCCCGCTCGTGCTGCACTCGCCGCCGCCGCGGACGGGGATGGGGGCGCCCTGCTGCGCCTGTTCCTCCTCCACCTGCAGCTGCTGCCGCTGCTGCTGCTGGTGGTGTGGTGGCTGCTGCGGTGACGGCCTATAAAGGCCTACCCCTTCAGGCTGCAAATGTGGAATCCCCTGGCAGCGCTCCTCCTGCCAGCGCGCCCCCGCCGCCGCCCCCTGCCGACCCGCGTCCCACGCAGCCGCGCCGCAGCCGTCCAACGGCGGCAGCTGCGGCGGCGGCAGCTGCGGCGGCCTCGGAAGGTCCGAACGGCCGGGCGGGGGCTGCCCCGGCAGCAGCGCGGACACGCCCCCCTCTGGCAGCTCGTCCTCTTGGTATAGGCTTGGGGAGCTGCCCGTCGCGGCGCCGTTGGCGTACCAAGCTTTGGCGAGGGCGGTGGGCGAGGGGCCGCCGGCCGAGGGGCGGCTCCGGGGGCCGTACCTAGTGAGAAGGATGAAAGGGGCAAGGGGCACCCATTTTGGGGCAGGGGCGTGGCCAGGCCGCGACATGACGAATGGCGGGGGAGTGGTGCAGCGACTGAGGCAGGTTATTACTGCACCTGTGTATGGTGCCACGGCGCAAGGGGGTGCGCAAGCAGGCGACGGGCGCATGTGCGCCCCCAGTGGCCCCCACATGCAAAGATGCCGTTGCGCCGGCCACGCGCGCTGCGTACCAGCCAGCCTCCAGCAGGGTCATGAGGCAGGGCCTTGGCGGTGCCACCATGATCGTGGACGCATTGGATGACGCATTCTCGACAACGACAGCATAGCTGCGCGGCGACGACACGGCGATGCTGCTGGCTCGCGTGGCGGGAGCATGGCCCGACTCAGGGCTTATAGTGCTGCCTGATGCAGCTTTTGCCCTCTGAAACGGTGTCATGGCCGCTGGGACAGCCCAGGCTGCTTAGGTGCTAGCGTGCAGCAGCCATCATGAGTGCGAGCCTCCTACGCCTGATCATTCAATAAGTTTATTTTATCATATAATCGAAGCAGCTGCTGCATAGCCTATGCGCGAGCCCGGCCGCGAGTGCTTCTTTCAATGCTTTTGCCGGCGCTTCCACAGTGTGCCCTATGATAAGACGACACGCCCAAAGCACTCGTTGCGGCTAATCACAAAGTTTTCCAATACAGTATTGCGATGCCCCAGCTGATTGCTGACTCGCGTGTTGGCGGTTGATTTCGTGAGCGCTGCTGAGCTGCCATGCACGTCAGCTGCTGCATCTGTCCCCACCTGCGCTGACGCTTCGCAAGCCGGTGTGACGTGATCGTTACAAACGCGATTGATAGGATTTGTGGTGGTGATCCCACTGTAGTCTGTCCCTTTCAGGATTGCGCGTTCAGGGTTGCACAACTGCCTGGCGGTGCACTTCGTCACCTCGCAGGTGTTTGACCCGCATTTGCGGCTTCAATCGGCTCTGCACGGGGCCTGACTTTTCATTCACAATCGCACCAGACGTGCCGCTCAATCCCTCCCCTCATGCACTTTCAGCTGGTGTTTGCCTTCTAATTCGCAGCAAGGCGGCCGCAGCATTTGTGCCTAGTAACAGCGTGCCACGCCTGGTGTCGCGATACATGGGAATGATGAGTTGCCAACACCAAGTGCCAGGGCTGACCTGGCAGTGGTAGGGGACTTTGACCATACTGTGTACACTGTGGCATGAGATAGACAGAAACCACTCAGATCACTTGCAAAAGTGTGGACCGTGAAGGCGCTTCCATGCTCAAATGCCGGATCTCTGCCCTTGCGCCGGGGGCCATAAATACGGATAGGGCGATGAGCGAGCATGCACGCACACCTGCCCGCGAGTGCATCAGCAGCCTGCACCCTGGCGCCCGTTGCGGTCCGGCACGCATTATGCATGGCAGCAGCAAGTCCATCTCTCCATCTCTCTCCATCTTGCGAGCGGAGGGGCTTCAGGGTGGGGGACCTGGACCCCTAAGGGTCCTTCTGGTGGCTCACTCACGATGTGACAACAGCGTATGCCTCACCAAAAAGCGTTGTTGGGTTATACGAGCGGGAATCGGGTGACATGCAGTGTCAGTCCGGATGTGCCGGCGGGTTTAACGGCCGGGGGCCGAGGGCTGGTGGCCGGGAGCCGCGTGCACGTCGGGGATGTCGGGGGCAGGATGGGCGGGCACGTGGTTGTGCGCATCTGCAGCAGGTGTCGCCCCGGCCACACAAAGTTCTGGCTCACAACACTCGTGTCCACCCTTGCCCTCATGGTGACAGTGTCCTCGGGCTCATGATGCACTTGTCGCTCTTGCTTTCCACTGCTGTGGTTCGCAAAGCTGCTGCCAGTGGTCTACACAACACTGTAAACACCAATGAGTTCTTGATTTCTGGCAAAGTAACAAGTTGTGAGCCAGCTGAGTGAGTCAGCGGCAGACCGCGCTCGCATGCTCGCGCAGTGCACACACGGCCCTCAAAATCAGGGCCACACCCCCCAACCTCCCCTTTACCCCTGACCGCCATGTAGCACACTGCAGACCAAATTGAGACGGAATGTGAGGCAATTCTTACTTAGTATACCCTCCCCTTGCGGTTGCTGGACACCTGCGCCAATCAATTGAGAGCGCATCCGCTCACCAGCAGTACAACAGCTGGTTACGGTTCTGTTGGCGGCATCGACATCCGGAGGCATGTTGTGCAGGCCAGGTGCAGGCACACACGTCCCTGTTGCAATCCGCCACATCAAACGTGTGAAAGCTGCGTCTTTTTCGAACCATTCGCCGACGTTTTTGATATACAAGATCGCACAGTCTGCAGGTCTCCTCGTTGAATAGAGGCTACAGCAATGGCACGCACCGCTGAGGTGCTGGTGTATGTCCTGGCCTTGGCTGCTGCGGTGGGACGAGCAGCGGGCTCATCCGATCTGGAGCGTCGTCCAAGCATGCACAGTCGTAGGCTGATGCAAGCAAGCAAGTACAAAGGTAAAGTTGCTTGTGATCACAGCATCGTAACTGGAGCTCGCGTTGCGGGTTGGCGCCGCCCCACCAAGTGCTGCAGGTGTTTGTGCATGTGACCTTGTCGGCCCGCTCTGCACCCCTGGCCGCCTGGGCGCTTGACCCTGCACACTGGCATGCCCCCACTCCTTGGACGCCCACTGCAGACAAAGATCCCGTGCCGCTGTGGGCGGCCAAGACGGGGCCGTTCACAAATCCCAGGTGCGGCGCCGCCGGCAGCTGAGCTCAGCCGGCCTGCCCTGTCGCAGACCAGCAGCATGCCCCGGCCGCAGCGGCTTCTCAGCAGCCCGACGCGTCCCGATCTGGCACGCTGCCCGCGCGTCAGTCCCTCTCTCTTGAGGACCGCCGCGCCCCTCTGCCTCCCTCGTCCCTGTATGCTACCTCCACAACCACCTCCTAGCATCCGTGTAGCCCGTTGCTTTGGACACGCGGGTTGACCTCTATTGGTACGAAGCCGATGCGATGACATTCATGCGGTCCTTCTGCCGCAACGCACCCCACCACATGACGCAGTGAGACGTACGAATTCTACAGACTGCCGTTCTGCAAGCCGGAAGGGGGCGTGAAATGGAAGACGCTCGGAATGGGCGAGGTGGGCGCGGTGCTGGCGAGCCTGCCGGCGGCGAGGCACCGGCGCTCGCCCCACCGGCTGCGAATTGCGGCGGCGGCCTCTCGCTGCCTTCAGCGCGCGGTCGCTTGCGGCTGGGGGGTGCCCCGCGCTGCGGGGCAGGGCGTACGAGCCACAGCCTGCGGCGGCTGCGGCACACGGCGTGCCCTGGCAGCCGCGCGGCCGCAAGAGCGCGGCGAGGGACGTGCAAGCGGCGGCGGCCGCAGTGGCTGCTGCGCGCTGTGGCACCCAGGCGGCCGCAAACCTCCTCCCCAAAGAGGCTGCCGGCGCCCGCCCGCGCCTCCAGCCCCAACTCCAACCTCTGCCGTCCTGCACCCTTTCCAATCGCAGGTGGTTGACGCCAACCGCATGGCGTCGACGCCGTACGACCTGGCTTTCAAGGTCGACCGCGCCAACACGACGGTCTGCAGGAAGACGCTGGCTAAGGACGAGGTGGAGGTGCTGCGAGACGTGAGTGGGGCGCTGCATAGGGTGTTCGGTTGGGGGTGGGGTTGTGT